CCCCCCATAATATGGCTTTGAGAACGGAATTCGTAGTACGATAGCTTTCCTTTACCCAGAATCCTCTGTGTTACATTGGAGAGCTGGATGCTCTTTTATGGTTGCTGTTCGGTGCCATCGAGTCAGCTTTGACTCAGAGTGAGACCCTCTGTACAAGAGAGCAAGCCCAGCCCGTCCTGAGCCATCACACAATCGTTCCATCTGAGCCCCTGGTTACAGCCGTGGTGTCAGTCCCTCTTGCCCAGGGTCCTCCTCTTTTTCTCTGTCCCTCGACTTGACCATGAAAGAAACACAAGGCTTTCTATCCTGTGAAGTTTTGCAGTCATGGACATTCACAGGGACGGTTCGACTCTGTCCTTTAGGGGAGCTATGAGACAGAATGGTCGCCATGGCCACGAGATCCTGCTTCACCGATGAAATGTTTCATCTCTGCCTTTGATAACTCACATGAGTCTTCAATAAACGAAGCAGTAATTACAGACGTTCACTGGCTGCATGATTTCTTTGATACTTGCTGAATCAGAAGAAGTCTGCAGTAACCAAGAATAACCTTTGGACAATGCTGGCTATCCAGACTTAGTGAAAATCAGAGTTCAGGAGATGCCCTGAAATTTCTTTTCCAAATCCAAGACATTATTACAACAGTGTTGTCGTTGAGGTCCTTAGGGTGGTGAGGTAGTTAGTTTATTGTGCCAACCTGGCCGATAAACACGTAGGGTTAAATTGAAGGGTGGAGGGATAAATGGCTCAGTGAGCCTCGCCTTTCGACTTCTCGGGTCTCTTGCTTTCTGATGGTCGGACCAGGGTACAGCTGCCTTAGCCTGTTCCCTGCTTCAGCTGGCAAGGCTCACTTACTGAAAGACATCCCCGAGGAGAAGCCGCAGGGACCAACCCTGATGCAGCCCTGGGTGCTGGAGCAGCCACGTGGAGACCCCTGCCAGTGCTGAGATGCTTACACGTTCACTGATTCAGCTTTCCTCCTGCAGTCGGCATCATTGCGTGTGTTTTTTGAAATGGAGGAAGACTTTGTGGATTGGTGTCAGACCTATGGGTTAATGTTGGACTTGTGGGCTTGGGCAGCACTGGGTTGGGATGTTTTCTTGATGTGCACTTAACCTTTATATAAAACTCTCTCTTATACATGAGTTTCTGTGGATTTGTTTCTCTAAAGTACCCAGACTAACACCGGTGGGCTGGTCATTAGGAGAGCTTTGGTGGGCACTTGAGCTTAGAATCGAGGGGAGTTTCTTTGGTTCTGTCCAGTCGGAATGACATTCTGGTTCTTCCACCCCAGAAATCACAAAGCATGATCCCATCTGCTGTCTCCCACATGGGTATGTTTAGTTTAAAAACTATGGCCGGAAGAAAGGGAGGAGCGAGATTATTTTTAAATCACTGGGTTTGGCGTAGAAACCTGGAGTTGGAGCTTCAGTGGGAAGAGCTGGCAGCACTGGGCTGGATCGCACCAGCTGTGAGCAGAGGCTGCTGGCTCAGTGGTAAGTTCTAGAACACAGACTCCACCACGGGGCCCTGGCACCTCACTGCCAGCTGATGGTCACGCAGGAGATGTGGGCCCGGTGCACTGAGGTTCTCTACCAGAGAAGCCAGATTCTTGTTTCTCTTTGCTGGTGAAACCTGCTCAGACAATTTCAAATGCTGGCAAATGGTCCATCACTCTGTTTACTCCCTTCACTTACACATCCCTGCCCTGGACCACTCCTCTGAACATCGGAGTCCGCCAGCTTTATGCACAGTGCCTGGAATCCCTGAGTGCTGTAATTAGTTAACAAGCTCGGCTACCAAGCAAATGTTGGTGTTTGAGTCTACCCAGAAGCACCTTGGAAGAAATGCCTATTCATCGGCTTCTGCACAATCAGCCATTGAGAGCTGGATGGAGGACAGTTCTACTCAAACACATGGGGTCTCCTGGTACTCGTGTTCATTCAGTTACATGACTCGGTGAAATGATTAGGAAAAAACTGTCTCTACAAGAGAGATCATTCTGCTTTTAGGAAATTTGCTTTTAAGAAAAAGCTTTGATCCGTCCATCTTTTCCTCAATCAAGGGGAGGCGAGGGCCTTCCTGAGACATTAGCCGTGTCTTCAACAGCCATTTGTTGAAGACCTACCGCACACCAGGCAACAGACTGGGCTTAAAGTAAAGGTTCAGCGTTTGAATAGCCTCACGGCTACCAAGTCAACTCTGACTCATGATGGCCTATCCAGGGCTTCCGAAGCTGTAAATCCCGATAGGAGCAGACAGACTCGTCTTTCTCCAGGGGAGCTGCTCCTTAGGAATGGTTATGTGCATCCCAATTATCCTACTGCTAGTTTTCTAAAGGGAACTGGTTTACTATTAACCAGTACCAGGTGACGAAAGCAAAGCTATTAAGCTCTAATTGTTCTGGCCTTGTACGTAGAAAGGTCATTCTATAAAAGCTACACCACATAGCAGTTCTATGTCGTTAAGAAGGCTTGGTGGTGGTACTGTGGTTAGGTGTTAACCTCAGAACTTCTAACCTTAAGGTTGTCGGTTCAAATCCACCAGCCACCGCTTTCCCCATTCTGCCACAAAAAATTTAGTCTCAGAACCCCTACGGAACTGTTCTCCTTGGCTTTGTCAAAAGTGATATCACAGTTATCTTTTTAGAATTCTCACTTTATAGTCATTGTTGATTTAAATATGTGTTCTACTAACAAGGTGCCACTCTGTACCTGGTTTGAATTTAAATATCTTCTTCACTGAAAACCATGTTGAGGTACCACTGTGTACGTTGTAAGGAGCTTACAGGAGAGTCTTCTGATCCTTTTTAAGAACGGATGGCATGCCACTATAAGTCTTGTCCCTAAAGGAAGGCTGGGACAATGCTCTGTTTTCTTTGCATGGTTGGATCCGTGTAAGTTCATAAAGCTCTTTACTGATGGTAGGTCTACATTCTGTTTGTATCTCACTACAATGAATAGTCCAAAGAGAATGGTTCCTTTCCTGTACGGAGCATAATACAATGAACCCCCAGGTGCCCAGCTCCCAGATTCAACATTTATTTTCTCACATTAAGATGTCCCAATGCTGACCACCTCATAGTGCCTGAAATCCTCTAACTTCAGAAGAGATCATCGCTAGCTGACCAACGCTGACCCCTTGGTGGAGGTCAAATATACCTTTGCTCTCCAACTTTTGACTCATTCAGATACCAGCTGTCCTCCCACAACACTGTCTATTCTCTGCTGGGTTCGACAAGTCACAGTCCGCACTTAGAACTGAGTGGTTTATTAAGGGTGATAGGGTGCAACTCAGGGTCAGGATCAGGACCAGACAGTCTGTGGGCAGAGTTGCCCTGTTCAGTACCAGTTGGCACTCTCAACTCCTCTCAGCTAACAGACAAGCAGGCCCTTCTCTGTGCTGCGCATGCCCCCTCTTGGCCACGCAAGTGACCTCTTGGCCTCCTCAGGACAGGCCTCCTCTTGGCCATGCACATCCCGTCTCAGCCACGTAGACCTTCCTACCATGGGCCTCTCTGCTACTAGCTGACCCTGCTCCTCGCCGATGCAGCAGTATTGCTCTTCTCACTCTTAGCTGTCTCCCCAGCCGCAGGTTTCTGCCGGCAGCGCTGACACTGCTGCTGGCCTGCTTCGAGGCCCGTCACTGCTTTCAGGGTGGCAGCGGTGGACTTGTACAGTTCTCATAAGAGGTTCCTGCTTCTCTCTTCTCTTTCCCTTTGCATCCTCTGGGGGGCTGCCTGCACCTGTGAGGATGAGTCAGACCGCGTTGCTATAGGGTTCCAGGCAATCCATGCATGCATGGGTTTATTCCAAATCACACGTGTTTCAACACATCTCTGGGATCACAGGATGGATTTAGACAAGTTCTCTCAGGGATACACTTGCCTTCGTCTCATTAGGTTGCCTTCACAGTGAAAGTCCAATCAGAAAAGTATCTTTGCAGATGTGCTGGGTCAGTTCAACTCAAGGCAGGGAAACCTTAGCTCAGGAGGTTTGGCAGCTGGTTGGGGGGATCCAGAAGTGTTTTTGTGACAGATCCTTCTCAAAGGACACAGGACAATCACAGGGGCTTGTAAGGAAGACATTTCAATGAAATGGAAAACCGCGTTGATAAGAAGGGCAGGGAAATGACTCTGGGGAATGGCTTCCCACCAGGCCAAATCAACCAATCTCAGGACAGGTTGCAGCCCAGGGACAGCCAGAAATTATCAACCCATAGAGTTGATTACAGGAAATGCCTGAGTTAGTTAATTGTGCCAGCCTGGCCGATAATCACATGTGGTGCTGGTTGAAAGGCGGAGGGATAAATGGGTGGTGAAGCCTCGCCTTTCTAGCTCTCGGGTCTCTTGTTTTGTGATGGTTGTATCGGGTGCAGCTGCCTTAGCAGTTCCCTGCTTCAGCTTGCAAGATTGACTTCCTACAAGACATCCCCAAGGAGAAGCCGCATGGATCTATCCCGATGCAGCCCTGGGTGCTGGAGCAGCCGTGTGGAGACCCCTGCCAGTGCTGAGATGCTTACACGTTCACTGACTCAGCTTTCCTCCTGCAGTCGGCATCATTAGATGTGTTTTGTGAGATGGAGGAGGACTTTGTGGATTGGTGTCAGACATATGGGTTAATGTTGGACTTGTGGGCTTGGGCAGCATTGGGTTGGGATGTTTTCGTGATGCACCTTTTATTTACATAAAACTCTCTCTTATACGTGAGTCGCCGTGGATTTGTTTCTCCAAAGTACCCAGACTAATACAATGCCCATCAGCCCAGACAATTAGAATAGAAAACTAGGGCAAAGTAAGTCCTTAGGATTTGAGGTAACCTCTCCAGTTATTTTCCCAAGAGATGAGGCAAAGGGCCACCTAAAAGAAAGCCTCTCACCTACAGCCAATCCGGCTTCTTCTGTGCCTCCCTCTTCCTAACTCCCATTTGATTTTGAATCCCACCATTTCCCCCGAAAAATACCCAGGCACATCTCATGCTGTGTTTCTGTGATTCTTTCAGGTCACTACATGTACGTGAACTCGATTTATGTCCAGCACTTCCAGGAGGTGGCTCAGCTCATCTCCCCCAGGACCATAGCGCCCATGTCCGGCTGCCTGTCGTTTTACTATCAGCTCCAGCGAGGCAATGAGCAGGTGTTTTCCCTCTACACTCGGGATGGCACTGGTGTCTACGAGGAGATCTGGAAAATGAGCCATCCAGGAAGCTCGGCCTGGAACCTTGCGGAGGTGGAGTTCAGTGCCCCATATCCCATGGAGGTAGGTGAGCCGGGTGTGCCCTGGCCTGACTGCGCCCGAGAGATGCTCACCCACCCACAGGCACGGCATCACGAGCCTCTTCACAAGCCTCACATTCCTTATCTTCCACCATATCTCAATCAATCTTTCTTTTCTCTTCTTTTGGCCTTCTCCCCTTACCTTCTTCCTCTGAACGCCCTTCTTCCTTTCTCCTGTATGGCCACATTTTCTAGCAAACGAGGATTTCAGTCAAGAAAAGTATGGAGACGTCAGCAAGGGCACGAGATAGGCTGGGCACATTCGCCCGCTGAACCTTGCGCTATGATCATGGGCAGTTGGTAAAAAGGAGTTGAGCACCTTCTAAGAGAAACTCATTGTTGTTGTATGCATTTTTAAATTTTTAGTGGGAAGTGGGTGAAGCTATACAGAGCAGATCATCAGTTTTATCCTCAAAAATGTGCCCACCTTTGGTTTCATCGCATTCGTGGCAGTCCACACAGTGTAACACCTCTTATCCTGCTACCTCCCTGTGTTTCCTGGCTCCAGTCCTCCTTTAGTGTCCTTCTGAATGCTGTCCTTTGGTAAATACTGTCCTTTTGGTCACACAGGATTGATTGTTGTAAGGAATGCATACCTCCTCATGCTATTGTTCCCCTGATAGGCCTTGTTATTGACTGAAAGTTGAGCCCTGGGGTGAGTTCCATTCCAGGCCTATCCTGTTTCCCC